GAGAGAGAGAGAGAGAGAGAGAGAGAGAGAGAGAGAGAGAAAGAGAATTGAACTTGAAAATTTCAGTTTCACAAACATTTTGAGAAACCAGACACGAGAAAATCAATGCTGAAGATAAACCAGGAGCGCTGAATCTCTGCAGGGAGACAGTAAAGCTGAGCGGGCTGAAATATCCTCACAGGGAATGAACAACTGATGAATTCAAGGCCTTTGAGTATGCAAAGAAGGAAGGACAGATCATTGAGGGGTTGGGGGTCCCACAACAGTGCATCACACCCCTTGGGAGACTGTTAGAGTGGTGACTGGGCCACACCTTTCCCCGGGGGCTCCTGAGTGCATTAAGGGGGGGGGAGGTGTCAAGGTCCATTCAGCATGGAGCAGTTTTCTTTCTTTCCTTTTCTCTGTGTTTTACTCAATAATGGACCAGGATCAAGGTGTGGATCTTAAACACTTCACCTTGCAGCCAGGCCATCTCCAATAGACTTGGGCTGCCAGACTAGGTGGGGATTTTCTCCTGTTTGTGTCCTTTTCATCTTTCTGTTTTCTCTACCCTGCAGCAGGCTACATACTAGACAAAAATGAGCTTAGCACAGTAGTGCAAAAGAGGCAGGGCTAATACCCCACTGCTCTCCACCACTAAGCAGAGCACTAAAGTCTGTCCAAAGCTCCCAGAATCAAATTCGACCATTTTCAAACAGCAGAGCAGTGCTGGGCCTTTATAAAATCACAAAACAAACAGTAGAGGGACTCTATAGGACTCGTGCCTATCCATTCTTGTGCCCTAGGGCTGCCACAGCTGCTACAAAGACCCACCCAGTGCCAAAGAAGTTGATGGTGCTTAGAGGTTACCAGTGATAGCTTAGGAATTTTTAATTTCTTTCATACCCTCTTGTTGAATAGTACCTCCTGACCAACAAAAAAGAACCCCCAAATTTAAAAACATCATAATGTCTGAGAAATAACAGTCGATTAAAGTTTATACAAAGAAACAATGATGGATGGTGTGTTAGTCTGAGTAGACTAGAGAAACAAGTGAATAGACACTCATATGTGCATAAGAAAGTGCTTTATATACAAAGCAATTGAATATTGAGGAAACATCCCAGCCCAGTGCAGATTGACTTCATAGGTCTGATATTAGCCCATATGCCTGATAGCAATCTATAAATGTCTCTTCAGCCTCACACAACACATGCAATGATGCTGAATACAAGACAATCACAGGGCAGTGGGTGGAAAATATTGTGGATCCAGTGACGGTAGGAGATTCTCAATGCTGGCAGGGGTTTTCAGGAGGCTCCTCCATCTCCCAATGCTCTGTCTGCACAGGGATCTCCAGGAGGCTCCTCCAGCTCCCAGGGCCCTGTCTGCACTCCATAAGGCTCTTTGTCAGTAAGCTCT